GTGCCTTAATGGGTCCTTGGCTATATATATATATATATATATATATATATATATATATATATATATATATATATATATATATATTCACAGCTACAGTCACTAACTGAAGACTCTTCCTCAGACTGTAGAGATGCATAAGGAGAAAGTTTCTCGGAGGGAGATCGGCGCCTTCACGACCGTCAGACGAGTTCCCCGTAACCATAAGATCATTCCTCCTACTGCTGCTCAGCCTCGCCAACCCTACAGCCGCAGACCGATCAACTACCAGCAGCTGGACGAGATCGGCCATGGCATAAAGGTAAGACATACCCTCCTGGTACAATAAGCTTCCACTGGAAAACCAAAAGCTACTTAAAGTCGTAGGGAAGTCATATTTAACTTTCGAATAATTCTGGTTTAAACATGTATATAAATGTACTCTTTATCAGAAGATATTGTCCCAAAATTTAGAAAAGCATCTATCTTAAAATCTGTGGGGTTTTCATAAGATGCTTCCGACAAACCGGCCACAACCAAACTGGCTTGAGAACCTTCCGCCACAACAATCCCGCCCCCTTGATAAACGACCAATCACATTCACTTTATTCAATCGTGTAAAGTCGCGCACCACTCGGGAGAAAACGCTTCCCTACCACTTTAAAGTCTGTGAGTGTTTGAATGTTTCATTCTGGCTTTCTCAGATGAATAACAGGAAGGTTAATCCAGTTTAGGTGTGTTGAAAGGAATCAGCATTCTGATCATGGCGAGATGCAAAGAGATGCATTCACACCCAACCGCAGCTGAAAGCAGAAGTAAACTATCGAGAGCTGCGAGCAGCAACCTAACAGGAAGTCTCGTCTGCATAGAACCACAGAAGCAGAAATGATGCGACAGAAAAAAGTTCCCAATTTAAACTTCACAGAACATCACTTCTCCAAACAGATTTATCTGTTTCCTTTTAACAACTAACAGTGTGAAAACACTCAGTAGAAAAGTAAATCATCTTTAAGTTCTCAGTTAAACAGCAGCAGTTTTCTTCCTGTAAACAATAAACAAAACAAAAGTATCTGTCGAAGAAATGTCAGTTTAAAATTATTTTCTCAGGCGGATAAAAAACATCTGTAAGACTCGACCTTTTTTGAAAGCCGGCTGCTTAATCATTCAGTTTCAGTTCAGTTGCTGACATTTAAAATTCGATTTTTAACCCTGGACTGAGTCACACAGGACATAACTTTTAATGAGTGCATGTTATATTAAAGGTATTGTAGAGAATTTTCTCAGTTTTATTTTTTAAAAGACCTGCCCTCTTGACCTAAAATAATGCACATGCACAACCCTGTACCTGCTCCAGAGAGGGAACGCCTATTAAATGCGTGCTAGAGCATGCATCAGCCCATTTATCCTTGTGCACGCTCTGTTCTCATAGCTCATACAACCTCACTGTGTCCGAATGTCCGTTCTAACCACCTAATCAATCAATCACTATAAAGAGTGGGGAATATATAGTGGACTTTATATAAAACTCAGTTAAATGACCGTTCG